CGGCGGTCTGGCCCTCCTCCGAGCCGGTTGAGGGCGGAAGTACGGGGCCTTTCCCTGTTGTCATTATGGCGGTCCCGGGACTGAACTTCCTGGGAGGACGTATCCTGGGCCACCACCCCTTCGTCGTTTCTCACCCGAGGGGTGGGATTTCCGAAGGGGTGTGGTAGAGGGGGAAGCATGATATTTCCCCCGATCTGAGGGTGAGCTGGAGCCAGGGTGCCGAAGGCACCCGGGTTCTGGATGAGCGTCTGGATGAAGGCGGAGAGCGCCGATTGCACGTCGATGGTGAGAACCGGAGGGCTGACTTGGTCATCGCTCCGGTTTTTCTTCTTGGCCTCGATGCCGAGGCGGGCATCGGGGGCATTTTGTTGGATCTGAAGGCGTAGGTCGACAGCCGCCTGTTCCAGCCCAGCGATGACACCGCCCTCGGGAGCCCTGTGAGAGGCTTCGGGGGCGTTGACGTCGCCGAGGGCCAGGTTCTTGTCTTCTACGTTCTTTGAGTTGGCACGTGTTGTCCTCACCATTTTGATAGAGGGCTAGATTTTTGTGTTTGGTCGAGGGGGAGGGTTTCTTACTTGATTGTTCAACCTCTCAACGAGAGCACCAAATAATGGATAGTCTACCCGGGGGTATATATCCGAAGGGTTATTACGGGGAGTAATTTAGAGAGAAGTCAGAGTAAGTGAATAAAAGTAGAGAGAGAGTGTATTCAGTATGAATGCCGTTTTCAGCGTGGTTACAAATGAGGAAATGGGGTGCTATTTATAGTAGCAATAAATGCCGGGCAGGGACACGTGTCAAGCGCTCATTGGCCGAGGGGTCACCTCAACTGGTTGGCGCTGGCAGCCGCATGTGGCCGCATTTAATGCGGCTGTTGGATGGGACGTCTGTGCGGGGCACGATGATCTGTACGCATGTGAGGCGGATATCTTGTCGAGTGAGATGCCTTCGGCTATAGAGCAGTAGCCGAGGGCTCTTCCACCCGATGGCACCCTGGTGCCGAGGGCTCACAGTGCCGAGGGCTACTGTTTTCGCCGTTTTCTCCCAGTTTCTTAATTTGCTTGAGAAACCCGTTCTGTGAGAATTTGGAGCCTTCGGCCGGGGGGCCGAAGGCACTCCTGGCGCGTAGTGCGGGCTGCTTGGTACCCTGGGCGCTGTGATTTGGGCCTGTTGGGCCTTTGCTGGAGTAGTAGGAGTCTGTGGGCCGGGGGTTCCCGGGCCATATACTCCATCAGAGGACTTTCGGAAAAGTTTTGTGAGACAGAGGAGGGAGTATGAAATGGATAAAGATGTATATGTGCAAATTCATTTGCATTTTGCATGAAAAACTACATGCTACTTATTAGAACATATGCATGCGATAGTATTTACTACGTATTCACTAAAAAGTAGATTGTATTACAAAAACATTATTATACTACCTCCGTTCCAGAATTATCTCCTTATTTGACTGGACACGGGGTTTAAGATAGTGTGAAATGTGTGGTGGAGAGTTGTGCAGAGGAAAGAGAAATGTGTAAGAATGGTCGTTAACCACAAATTCTTTGTCAAAAAAGGAAAGAAGAAATAAATTTGGGACGGACCGAGAAGAAAAGAATGAAGATAATTCCAGAACGGAAGAATATGTTTTATCTTACACGTTGTTGTATAGCAAAAATAGTTAAAATAACCTGATAGTTGTCACTTTGTAAGTGATATTCGAGACACTTATTTAAATCTTAGTTCTATCAATAGGGGTTACATGAACTAGTGATCAGGAGGTTGCAAGTTCAATACCTCTGGTAAAACGGTCTCGCTCAAGCCTATCACACAGGACCCGCCAAGTGTGATTACTTGGTTGGCACTCTCTTACTATATGATTGGCGTAAATAGGGGCCTAGTTAGGGTGGTTCACCTCAAATTTTAAAAATGTCTATATTTCTAGTGTAAAATGTTCATGTAAATTTGTTCGAAAAATATTCTTTGTACCGGTCTAGTGCCCTGGCCCCGGCCTTAGCGTAATGCAACATTTTATAAAATGTTTAATACTAATAGGCTTCATATGAAATGTGAATGTCCAAGTCAGTAACCAATGCTTACTCCCTCAGTCCGTCATCACCAGTTTTGGTGATTCTACTAGTGTTGATAACTGAAGTTCAGGAGTTAGTGCCGAAAAAATGAACACATTAGGATTTTAAATACGCAACAAATGTTGGGTGTGTCTCGGAAAAACGAAGATTAATTAATTACTTAATTAAAATTAACAAAATAGCTTAAGAAAAACACAAAATAAGATGAGACAGAAATTAGTCAAAGCTCTGCTATGCACGATGTCCTTAAAACGTATTTGATGCCTCCCACGGTGCTAGGAGCATTGCAACGATCGTTTCTCAGGATACGATGACTACGAACAATTGTTTTAGCACTCAAACGAATTGTTTCGGCGAACGGAAACACAATATGATCACTACGGAATTTTTCGGAATACTAGAGGTGTGTTTTAGCTCAAAAAGTTTGTGCAAACTGTGTTGTGAGACGTGTTGTTGCAAAACACCTGCCAGGTATATACATGGACAGATTTGTGGTGTGTTAACTGAGCTTTAATGAACCTGGACGTTGGACATAAATAACTAGCACGTTGAACATTAATATGTCAAAAACTGTTCATTTAAAGATAAGAACGTTGGACAATAAATTTTGTAATGGTTGAGAACCGTTCAGATGCGCGACCAGAACACCCCCAGAGCTGCACGACCAGAACTGGTGTTGGCATGACCAGAACACCTTACGAAGTGATCTGGTTCTGGAAGACTGAAAACCGTTACGGGAAGAAGCAGAATTTAAATGGACCTGGACGTTGGACATAAATAACCAGCACGTTGAGCATTAATATGTCAAAAAATGTTCATTTAAAGATAAGAACGTTGGGCAATAAATTTCGTAATGGTTGAGAACCGTTCATATGCGCGACCAGAACACCCCAGAGCTGCGCGACCAGAAATGGTGTTGGCGTGACCAGAAGACTGAAAACCGTTACGGGAAGAAGCAAAATTTAAATGGTATCTTTTTTGTAAGATACACTTTTGGACGACATTCGTGTCTGCGGGTCACAGCTTTACTTCTCCGTTTTCGGGATTTGATTCACACCCCCTTGCGCGTGAAGAGAGCCTTTCCACCTAAGAATCTTAACTCCTTCAAAGAGGGTTCTCTTTATAAGGGGTTGAAAATCCATTGGGTTTTCCGGTGTGGGATAAATCACACTAGAAACCCATCATTTTCCGAGTTTTTCCATTTCAACGAGTGAACTTCGAGAATCAATTTCTCATTCACCCGTTATCCGTTTTGAGTGTATCACATATCGAATTGTAGTCCTTAACAAGGACAATCCAAAACCACTTTGACCCGACCCAAATCAGAAGTGGACTACACTCAAAATATTGCCCCAAATTACCCATTTAATGTAACGTTTAACACATTTTTCCAACAACAAATACACACACACTCACACACGCAACGATTGTTTATTTATCAAATGATTTCCTATTTTATGCAGGTGAATTGGTGGTGAATTAGATGATGTATTTGATGCAAGGTCCATCGAATATGATTTGATTCATCATTCAATATGATTCATCCATTATCCCTTTATTCGTTTAGAAATTTCACTCATAATTTACGAGCCACATTCCCTTTACTCATTGGATTCAGATGAACTTATTTTCAGAGGTACTTTGTCTATTTGACCACACTAATCACTTTTATTTTCTTAAAAATTGTGTAAGTTCTTACACTACATAATTACATATGTAACTTGCATGCACTTTGAAACAAGATGAAAAAAATATTTATGGGCACACAACCTGTGGAACCCTCATGTGAGGCTTTCGAAAGAGAGGTTCATTAATGTGATACTAGATTCTCCAATGAATAGGTTTCTGTCATATATTGCTTCCGTCCTGCAAAGATTGTCTCATCTTTGTTTTTCGGTCTGTCCAATTAAGATTACTCTATACCGGTGAAGTTTGTGAGGTTCTAAATTATTTTTACTATATTCTTTCTTTATCAATTCAATATCAACTACATAAATTCATTTTTCTTAATAAACCTGTCACCTCTCTTAGTGACTCATTATTAGTATAGCAGGTAACAGTACTTTTAAAAGCGGGGGATACAACACCAATTAGCCATTCTAGCAGCCCAATTAGAAATACAGCACCAATTATGAAAAAGTATCCATTCTACTATTCTAGCAGTCCAGTTAGAAAAGCACTCCGTAATACTCAGTAATTAATCGCAAATAACAATGGATGCAATAATTAGTAAAATTTGTAAAGAACGTATGTAGTGAAAGATTAAAAAGTGATCAAATTATTCAAGAAGTCCAGAAGAAAAGGTAAAGAAAAAAAAGAATATACTGATACACTTCACAAATGTATCCTTCCTCCTATAATCCTGTACTCCTATTACAAAGACTACTTGTTCTGATACATTAATTTCACCACTTATATTTTTACTAAATTCTTTACACACATCCTGCGTCAAGCCGTCAATGACAGACGCCGCAGTAATTTTCAAGGGACTCTACACTTTTACAGTTTTACGGTTAGAGCTATATTTAGAATTCTACAATAACACCCATACCAATTTCAAGATTAGAGAATATTAAGAGCCTGTTGGTAGCACGAAAATCGGCTAATTTGACTAATTCTGGTGAAATTTATAAAGTTATGACTAAAGTGACTGCATTGGTTGATTCTGTTGATTTAAGGGGAAAAAATTAAAATATATTTTATTAATAAAATAAAGAAAAAATTATATGTAAAAATAGCTAAAATGATCATCTACAGACTACAATAACTTCAGTCAATACAGCCAGAAAAGTAACTTCAACTTTACCTTTTCTGTTTATTACACAATTCAACGCACGAAAACAATAGTTACGCGTTTGGTGAAAAAGTTGGCTGATAAGTCTGATAAGCCGAAAAGCAGTGTTGCGAAACGGCCTCTAAAACTCATAGAAATTGAAAAGTTTGTAGACCACTACCAATTTTGTAAATATTCCAGCTACAAAACATGTTCAAGTAGAAGATTGAGTTCAGAAATTAAAATGGACAGAACGAAAAATTGGCCATAAAATATATCGAGGCATATTATGATAAACATTACCACAAATATCAGCATAAAAAACTCTACTTCAAAGATCTACAACCAAAGGCTCTATTTTACACTCAACACAGTGACATAGGGTTGTATTGTCTTAACCAATCCAATTGAAAACTGGTCACATAACACCTACAAATCTCCTGAGTAAAGTGTGCTACTATTCATTAGTCTCAACGACTCTCTCTTCATCCATCTCTTCACCAACTTTTTCGTCAACTTCCCCATTAGCCTCCTGCATTGGCGAAGGAGGGGCAGGCAAAACATGTTGTATTGTCTCGACCAGTGCCATCAAAGGTTCTTCAATCTCTTCCTCATCACCAGTTTCCTCACTTCTCGGAAACCGAACATCATATTCCTCTATTATCTGTGGGAGAGTGGGGGGAGGGGGGCCTACATTTAGCAGTAGTATACAAAGAGAAACTAAAACATCGTAATCACCACAATAACATATATAATAAGATACTCCCTTCATCCCGAAATTAACTTCCCGGTTTGACTTCACGGGCTTTTAGGTAGAAAAAAGTAAAAATTTGAGGTTCCAAAATTACCCTTTGATATAATAAAGAATGGTAGTAGTCCAAATAAAGTAAAGGAGGTAAATGAATATTAAAGTAGGAGGCAAATGAGTACTTCAAAGCAAAAGGTTACCAAAAGTAGAAATAAAGTAAAGTAGGAAGTTAATCTTGGAACATCCCACATAGGAAAGGTGGAAGTTAATTTCTGGACAGGAAGAGTATATACTATCATTAAGAAAGTAACAGCACAGCACATCTCACAATGAAGGGGGTAATGTAGGGGTAAAGAAAGAATTTATATTCCATTATTTTGGCTATTTAATGTCAATGATTAATATTTAAAAGTTTTGTTGTCATTGCTTATTCCCTCCCCTCCCCCCTCCCCCCTCTCCAAGGGAAAAAAATCAAAAGGGTTCATGATCCATGAGAATATTTATTCCTCAATGTTTTAGAAAAATGAGAGAAAACTGACAACCAAATAAACTACTTTGTCATCGAGAATGATCAAATCCTCTCTCCAACCAAACATACTGTTGGTGATTTTAGTATCACCAGGTTCATTTTAGTGTAATGGAATTTACAGATTACCAATGGAGTTCAAGTTTAATTTTAGACAAGTTAGGAGGTGCGGAGCGCACACTTGTACGAAATTAAATTTAAACTTGGTTCGATTAAATGGCGGGGGTCAAGGGGGCTGCGCCCCCTTGCGGGGTCCAAGGGGCAGCGCCCCTGGCGGGGGTCTCGCAAAGAAATAAATATGGAAATTTATTTTCGGATAAACATGTCCATATTAATTATTTAATAGAATGACTTTCTGTTAGAGTAAAACTCTAACTGATTGGCCTTATCTCTTTGGTAATCAGAAGAATTCGAGTTCTACTAAAACTGCTAGTTCGTGGTCTATATATTGGTGCCTCAGTTTTAGACTGTCTCTTAGAGTGATTATCCCCATAATCTAAATTTCGTGTAATCCAGGCATAGGGTCGAAATATTAGATTCGGAAAGTGATCACACGATACTCTGAGAAATCCGCCAGATTTTCTAAAACAGTTTCCCAACTCCCCAGATCTAACACATACTGACTGCAACAGTTAGCAGAGGAATAAAAGTTCAACAAATGCACTGTTCCCAATAATGGAATATTGAAAAAACCTTACCGGGTAAATTTGAGATAGAGTACATGGTCTGACATTGATGATGTTCAAAATTTCAGCTTTTGATATATTGAAGCTTTTACATTTTTCTACAAATTGGTCAATAATTTCTCTAGTCTGATTAGTGCACACAACAGTCTGTTCTAAATAATCAAAAACCTGCCATAAAAAAAAAAAACTTCATAAATAATCACAGTATTATGTCAAGAAGCCATTGATGGAAAGTAGAAGAGTTAACCTTAAACTCAGATGCCAAAATTGGGAGCATGACACGTGCAGCACCCCTTCCAGCTCCTCTTGATCTTAGAAACTCAAGCACCTCAAAATTGGTGAGTGCACCTGCATTTGCTTTAAGTCTGCATAGAACTAATTCTAAGTTAGTGTATCCTTACTTTCCAACCAAGGATTATAATTACCACATGTCAAGAGTCAAGAACAACTTAATTGTTTGCTTGGAAATAGTTTGCTGTTTTTGAGTGAGAAAATGGAGAAGGTAAATGGGAGAGAAAAAGCACATTGTTTGGTTTAAGTGAAAACTATGGGAAAGAAGTAAATATGGGCCCATTAAAAAAGTCTACAAATGTACAAATATCGCCTCATTAATGCTGATTACGTTTCACGTTGAATGACTGGATTAACATAAAACGTCAAAACACGAGACATGTAAATAAAATCAGTGAATAACTAAATACTTGCATCTTCATCGCCTGAAAGCAGAAAGCAGTACTTTGACACTACTAAACTTCTTTTATATTTATTCTTCAAATTATCAGGAAGAAAAACCTGCAATGCAGAGATCTTAAACAGAAAGGTGAGTGGCAATAAGTTAGCACAATACAGAAAAATATAAAGAAATAATTATGTATATATAACTAAAGTAAATGTTGTTTACAAAAATGCCACCTCCTTAGTGTAGTGACTATAATAGTAACTTATGTTCAATATTTACACTTAAATGATGACGAGACTACTATAGAAACTATTGGTCATATTTTTGTAAAAAAGTTTCATTTGAGTAACATTTTTGAAACAAAAACTCAAATATAAATCCAAGCAACATGAACAGATCAATAGGAGATTTTAACAAAGAAACACGACCGCTCTAGTCTATCAATCTATATATATGCATGTATTCTGAGTTATTATTATTATAACCACAATTATTACTCCCTCCGTTCCTTAAAACTTTGCCAAGTTTGACCGGCACGGGGATTAATAAGGTAAAAACTGTGTGGTTGAGGTTTGTGCAAGGGAGAGAGAATTAACTGGAACCACAAATTCTTTACTTAAATGAGAAAGTGGCAAAGTTAGTGGGACATCCAAAAAAGGAAAGTTGGCAAAGTTTTAAGGGACGGAGGTAGTATATTATTATCTACTTCCTTACCGATAAATTGAGACGTGGTACCTTCTAATACAAAGTGATTAGTAAAACAGGTGCGGTTTAGTATTGAATATTCATGCGTACCAATTTTTAGCTGCATATTTTGAGAGTATGGAGCTCTGAAATACCTTCAGTTTGATATATTATGGCTCTTGTAAGTTGTAACTCATTACGAACAAAGAGTTATGACTTTTGGAAAATCAACACCATTGAACTTAAAATGAGTAAAATTTGATGCGTAATATTGATTATATTCTCAAAATTTTAAAATAGCGTATAATTTACTCATTACCCGGGACAGAGCAAAGACAACCTATCTTACTGTTACGAGTGTGTACTCAAAAGCCAATTCTTTTCTGGTACGAAATCTTGGGGAAATATATAGTTTCAATGTAAGGCAAAGGGTCTCAAGGCAATCACCGGGCGAAAATTTGTCTACTAAACCCGTATAAAACCAGTATAATATATATGAATTACGGCATATATATCAAATCTATAACGGTATTACTCTTATTTAAATTACCATTTATCCAAGTTACATAAGAAACATTCAAATATGGTATTGTCTAGAAATGATCCACCATTTTCATTTTATATATAGTTGAGTTTCGACCCCCCGAGTCGTTTTTCTAGCTCCGATACTGTCCATCACTGTATATAATGTAATTACATCTTACAAATTACAATGAGATGCTAGCGTTGCTTATTTTCAAGAAACATTATCTAAAACCAGGGAAATAGCAAGGACGGAGATTCAAGGGGAGCCAGTTGTACACTAAAAATATTATGTAAAAAACATTAAACGATTAAACAGATCGAACATAATGATTAAAATCCATTAAAATTCATAACAATATTTTTAAGTACATAAAATATAATATATGAATCTAAAACATTAACTGAACACGGCGTTCTATAACTCGGCCGCTTTGTGAAAGTTGAGTTTCGGTTGATAAGGTCCGAGCATCAAATAAGATCGTGTGATTTTATCTCTTTACTCTAACATCAAAGTATCAAACAAGATCATATGATTTCATCTCTTTCCTCAAATGCCCAATGGCTTATTTTTCTGTTTTCCCGGATCCCACTCAATTTCATCAACAACAGAAACTAATCCCCCTTGAAATAGCTAGAGTATCAATCAAGTCATTGAAAAACAATGCAGTATGGTTTTTTTTCATTTTAGAAGTAGATTTGGTAGCAATACCGAATTAAATTGGCAAAAATAATAAAATACTTCATTTGTCCCATAAAACTTGGCCAATGTGACTTTCTAGGTCAACGACAATAATAGAACCTACATCTATAATAGAATCTACATCTATATTATTGACAAAATCATCTCCCGTTTTGTTTTGAAGTGCTGTCTTCACCATCGTAGGTATACTTTCACAACTCCCTTCACCACTTTGACCATTCACTTTCGAAAAGAATGACAAAATCAACTTGTTTCCTTTCTTGGCAATATGTTCATTATCCATTCTAAAAAACATTTTTAATATTGGTATGAATTAAAATACTTCTATAAAATTATACAATCGTTGTACATATACCTAATAAGTATTCCCAAGTTCAAAACTCTATTCAAATTTTCAATTTTTTCTTACATACCCACTCAATAAAATGATAAATAGATCATTATCTAATCTTCAATTGTATAATAAATAAATCATTCTATAATCTTCAGTTCTATCTTTAATCATTATAAATTTATAATGAATTAAAAACTATTTTATTATGCACTGAAAAATTCAATTAATAATCAAATTGATTCACTAGACCTAAAAATAATAATACTCCGTACACAATACCACAAAGCCACAAAATAATAGATTAAAAATCTATAACTGTATTAGAGTTAGAGCATACCTGTATGCTGGAGCAGCGGAGCTGGAGACAGAGCCCAGGCGGCCAGGCAGACCCGGATTCGGAGAGGCGGAGAGCGCAGAGCCGGAGTGGACGGCGGCGCAGCTGGTGGTCTGCTGTTCTCCTATTCCTGTTCGTCGCGTCTCCGTCGCAGGTCCAGGCTCGTGAGTTCGTCTTCCTTCTTCGTACAAGGCCACAAGCGTTCGCACTTCCGCATTCGCACAAGAGATCACGCAAGAGATTTGTTTAATTTTGAAGTGGGCTTGCCATAAATTTTGAGATGGGCTGAGAATTAATTTTGGGTTGAAAACATTGGGTTAGGCAGAAGCCCACCCCTGCCCTCTGGGAAATGGGATCAAGCCCACCCCTGCCTCCTGGATAATGGGCTGAACCCCACCCTTTCCCTCTGGTAGCCTGGCACTGTGCCAAACAGTTAATCTCACTAGGCCAGTAATCTTTTCCCTGGGCCCAGGCCCCTGTGTAAAACTTTGAACACAGTGATTTCATGTAGTGAAAATTGAGTACTCCCTCCGTTTCAAAATCGGGGTGTTTGGAATTGATTCTGTTTCTACTTCTTTTTTAAAGCAGAAGCAGAATCAGAATCCGTTTTCAGAGGCTGATCTCCCTCAGCTTCTAAACAAACTGATTCTGAGAGTAAATTATAACACCAAAATCTCTTCTGCACTTTGACCAAAACACTCCAACTTTTGCTTCTGATCTCTGAAGAGCAGAAGAAGTTTTAAGAATCAGATCCAAACACTCATTCAATGACACACTTTGATTTCACAAAGATTAAGGAAACAAATTTATCGAGGGGTAAAGTTTACTGTACATTACTTTGACACTGTATGGCATTGTTTGATACAGTTTTGCACAATTTTGTTCTTTATTAATATAGATTTGTTTAAGAAATAAGAAAGTGTGACTTTTTTTGGAACATATAAAAAAGGAAAGTGCGTCATCGATTTTGAAACGGAGGAAGTATAATTCTATTCACCGATTTAATTTTTAGTAAAATTAGATGATTAATAATTGTAATTTTTTCAAAATTGGGATGATGATATTTTTCTCTTTTCAAAAAAAAAGCCACAAAATAATATCAAATTCAGGCAAAGCTTCGGTGCAAATTGCATTAAAGCAACACCATTCATTAGGGGTGGACAATTCGGTTTACAGTTCAGTTTTCATCAGTTTCGGAACGGTTTCGCTTTATTCGGTTTGAAAGATATTATATCAAATTCAAATCACTTGTGTTTTAATTTTGTTTCGATTCGGTTTCAGTTTGATTTCGGTTTGGTTTACCAAAGTGAAAATTGTTAGGTTCAATTTAGTTCGATTTGATTTGGATTCATGTGTTTATTATTTTGTTTGATCAAGTTCTATATTTTAGAATAAGAAAATGAAAATAGTAGTTCATCACATCTTTTTGTATTTATTATTTAAATAAAATGTAAAAGGGAATACGTGATGGAAAAAGAAATAATAACATATTATAAATGAACACATAATTTAACTTACTAAGACTAATGACATGAAGACGTCTAGCCTTTTCTGAATCACTAGAAAAAAGATTCACCTCTCACAAAAATTAAATTTATCAAAGAGAGTTATAAAATCCACGTCTAGCCTTTAGCTGATTACAATTAATAATATCAAATAAAATATGCAAAGAAAACTAAACGAGTCGGCAGAAAAAATGTTTTAAAATTCACAATTTTATTCAAATAAATCATGTAAAATATAGTGTACTCTAGTTTGACTGAAATTAATATAAATGCAATTTGATGTTGTTATCGTCAAACATCTTTCCATACGCATGTACCGTGCAAAATATAACAAATACACGTATGTCTTATTAGCTAACTTTATCATAATGAATGTATTAAATGTGTAAAAGCTAAAATGATATATAATGAACGTGTATTTTTCATCTTTTAAATTATTTGTTTGTATCCTAAAGATGAACAGTGAAAACAATTGCAAATTATTTTTATAAACATTACAAGTTGTTCAGTGTTTGGTTTACGATTTTTTGGTTTAAAACCAAACCAAATCAAACCTTTCGGCGTGAACAAATTCTTACCAAACGATTTGCTTAAATAAACTCAAACCAAATCAAAGTGCCAATTTTTCGTTTGATTCGGTTCGATTCGGAGCATGGAATATTTAACATAAACTCAAACTAGTTATAATACATGGTAATTAACCTATATTTCAACCATTACTTTATAGGATTCGAGTAGCATAATTATCAGTTTATGCTCCATCAATTCTTGGTGTTTGTTTAAAGAACACTAACACGAAACACTACATAGCGTAAACATTTCACACTGAAAAAGATATGATTTTCTTATTCTATAGCTGAGCCAAGCAAGTGACTTATATGACTTTAAAGATATACATTTAAAATAAAGTCATTCTATGACTTTAATGACTTTAATTATTTCTCCTAAATGGACTCATTCTTTATTATAAACATTATTGATATAGGAAGTTTTTAAAAAACATTCAAATTCCTCTAAGTGAGTTGGGAGTATCCCTGTTAATTACACATTAGAATATCATTGAATTGCTTAAAATGCTAAATACAGATTCCTCATGATATATAAAGAGAAGTAAACAAAGAGTAGGATGGACAAAGATCGTATACTTTACTTTTTAGCTCACACTACTGCACATTTTTCTACTAGTTTGCTTTAAAAGTGGTACTTCAAAAACAAAATTAGCCGGAAATTAGTCATTCGTACGCTTGATATCCTAAATAGGACACAAAATATGGTACAGATCATGAAAATTAACAATAGTGATAGGGATTAAAAATTAAAGATGTAAGATTTGAAACATCTAGGCATCACCTTTTATTCATATACCCGCTTCAATAAGGTCCAAATCTCCAACTTTATTAGAAATAAAAACATGTTAGGAAATCTATAAGCATTGTTGCTATACTATATAATTCTGTTTTATAATTCAAGAAATTATACTAAAAATACATAGAAATCAGATATTGTATGCATATGTTAGTAGTTATCTTTCCTTTATTTGCAACTTTGTAAATGAGGTTTTGTTATTTGTTTTAAAATTCAATTCATTCTTTACACTAAAACTCGCAATTACTTGTAATATATAACTCTTTTGCAATGTGTGGAAGAAAACATGGATTGTTTAGCTCTATGACAATATGTGAAAAAGGAGTGTTTGGGTATTTAAATTCTAATGTATCTTATACTTTAGGGTGTGCATTTTAGAGAATTATTATTGGTGCAATTGTTTTAGTCCTTAAAGTTGATAATATCAACTTGATATGGGTGGGTTAGGAAAGCAATTATCTTGGTATTATAATTTGTGTTTTTGTATGAGACTTAAGGTTGTTGGCTAAAGGAAACTAATTGTCTTGTTGTATCCAAGATCAAGAACCACATGACCTAAGCTAATGACATTTCCTAAGGTCTCGTGGCTGATGGATCTACACTACTAAAAAAATAATGTAGCTAATTTATCTTTCGTAATTTGAATATGGAAATTGTCTTTTAAGAGAATCGGATGTTATACTTTGTTGTAAGTTAGATGTCATTTTATTAAGTACTCCGTATCCAATTGTTATACTGTTATAGAAATAATAATTATTAATTATACTAAATTTTTTGGAAACTCTTTCATTCAAATAATCTTATCACTTAATACCTACTCCATTTTTTAAAAAATTAAAGAAATTTGATTATAAAAATAAAAAAATTTGTTGAACTAAAAAACCGAACCGAATTGAAACCGGAAAACCAAACCAGAACCAAATCAGTTTTGGAACCAGTACTGTGCGGTTCCTGTTCCAGTTCCCTGAAATTTGGAACCGTGAACCAACAGTGCGGTTCTGGTTTCGGTTCTAGTTCGGAGCGCGGACAAGTCTATATATACGTATACATATAATTTCATCATAAAATCTCTGTTAATCTGACAAGACTAGTGATTTATCTTCAAGCCATAATAATGCTTGTTGAATACAAGAAAGAACGAAAAGGGAAGGTAGCACAAAACCAATTTCACATATGGCTAATTAATTAGTGCATCATCATATAAGCCCCCATAGTCATACTTATAAATAGCAGGAATAAGACATTAATCTCCGCTCGCACACCCTTTGCAGCCACAATGGACACATTCTATGACCTCCTCTTCCCTAAGATGTTTAGGAACCCGACACACACAAGTGGTCTGATAGTTGTGATCCCGAGGTTGGATACACCTCAAACAGCATAGGCGTTCATACCCTGGCTGCATTCATGATACATTAAGGTTAACTTTGTTTATCAGGAAACAGGCATAGTTTGGTAGCACTATGAAACTGAAAGGAAAGAAATGAATGCAACATGAGAGAGCTCAATGCATTTCTTTGGTACCATGGAGTGGAAATAGCACATAAATGGAAAAGGTCAGATAATCCCCATCTAGTCATCTCCAGTCGCAAGTGAGGATCTATGGAGGGAAATGCTATCAATTTACAAATTTGACCTTGTACCAAATTATATAATGTAAGGATATTGTAAGGATGATTATGTATATCGCTAAACACAAGAAAGTTTATATTTGGTCTCTATATCCACTTTACTCATCTTCAGCCAAATCACTTTTTTTCGTTCTATTCCTCAGTCATTCATAAATCAATAAACACAAGGCACTTTATATTTCCTCTCTATATCCACTATACTAATCCTCACCCAAATCACTTTTATTTCCATCTATTTCTCAGTTAATCCACCCCCTGAAACTTCCCAAAATAGGACTATAGGAGTAAAAAGGTGATTGACCTGAATAAGAGTACACTGCTTTTTCTCTATATAGGACTGAAGTACTAAATATTGAAATCAGGTTGCCATAATATGGCATTATCAGACATTAATATGACACTAGTATTTAAGGAAATCATACAATTCCTTAGGAATTAGAAATTCCTTAGAAATTTCTACACATACAATTCCTTAGAAATTTCTACACATACAATTCCTTAGAAATTTCTACACATGAGTAAAAAGGGTCGTTAAATTAAATTTGAAATCACGTTTGAAATCGAGTATTTTTTTTTACTGCTTAGCCCACCCCACCCCACTAGTATTTTTACTCCTATTTTCGATTTTTTCAACACATGCAGTTTTTAGATATGATGATGAGACAAACCTTTTTCCACTTGGCAATTAAGTTGCGGTCTGCATAACCCTGATCCAAGCAAAACTCATACAATTCCTTAGAAATTTCTTTCCTTCTGTAATAGAGGTCAAAGATGTAGCGACTCTTCTGATGAGAAATTTTAAAGATGGGCCATAAACCCTCACACTTCCTTTTCCCATCATGCGGATCATTCTCAGCTGTAAACAGAAAACATAGACTCGTATTAATCATCAAGATTCCTTTTCTGAAGTACTATGGATCTTGGAAGATTATAGGCGGAGAAAAGTAAAAGGAATTTAAAAGTAAAGTGAGAAGAACTAAAACATTGGTTGCATCTCAATGCATTTTTTTGCAAATTTGGTCTTAGCACATTTTATATATTTCATCCTATTATATTACTACGTATGACTAATAAATGTAGACATCAGTAAAAATTTAAAAGCAAGAATCTAACAGAAAAATTAGACTCATAGTAATCATCAAGACTCCTCTTCTGAAGCACTATGGAGCTTGGAAGATTACAGGCAGAAAAAAGTAAAAGGAATTTAGAAGTATGGAAATGTGAGGAAGAATAAAACATTGGTTCAATCTCAATGCATTTTTTTTTAAATTTGGTCGAAATCAATTTATTTCTTTCATTCTATTATATTAAGACTAAGAAATGTAGACATCCGTAACTATTTGAAAAGCATGAATCATGCAGAGTATTTAGTTCGCCTTTGCATTTTCTGAGGTAAAACGAAACACAAGAAAGTAACTTTCCTTAGAAATATTTCTTCCTTTCCCTAACATTTTAGGTGATTCAAACATACCCTAATTCAAAAGGATACCACATAAATGAGGAACCATCTAGAAAAAATTATAATTCTGATGAGAAAAAAACCTTCTCTCATCTTAGCTTGTAGCTCAAGAAGAGTAGGCTCGATCAGTTCCCATCCTTCTGGGTACTTGACACGGTTTGTCTTCACCTTAGGCATGCTTTAGCTGCACAATTTACAGAATGTTTTTATATCAGTTAAGACAACAACCACAATGTTTTATCAAACTATGGATTCCTTCCACGTAATGACCTTATGTTACAAGTATGTACGGATGTAGCCTTTATTTTATATTCAAGGCAACATGACAAAGTTCAACTAGGTCCTCATCAAGCAGGTTTTAAACTCTTGGAGTCCAGAGGAAACTAAAGATGACACATTCTGTACCATATGAAGGGAAAATCTATATGGTCTAATGGTCTAAGCAATGGCTATTTACCTGCTTAAGTTAGAGCAGTGACAAACATTGCAAAGGAAATTAACATGTAAAAATAATCTACCTATATATAACAGTGCAGTTTGCGTTGCCAACTTCTTGCCAAAATTGACTGAAGAAAAAGTTCTCCTTGCAAAAACAAAAGTACTCTGTGGAGTCTGGAGATAACAGAGGTAGGTTTTTAGCTAAAGCATATGTCCACTTTTAGTATAGTCTTAGTTATCTCCAGACTCCACAGAGGTAGTATAGTCCACTCCGAGATAACAAAGAATATGTGCACAGCACACAAAAGGCCAACTTTAGAAATACAGTAATAATGATAAAATAAAGAGTCATTCCCATCAAAAATAAGAATAAATCTGGAGCATCGGATTTATGATCTAATGGTTCTAAATATGTCAAAAATGCATTAAAGTGGATGAAAAACGTGGTGACATTTTCGTAATTGAATCAAAGTTTTTTTCGTTGCAAAAAGTACACTTCCAGTATGCAAAAAGTACTGTATATGACCAAAAGTGGATGTTGAAAATAATCTGAATGCAATAGTGCACCTGAGATGGTCAAAAGTGGAGTCATTCGCATTTTTTACGAGAAGACCACTTTTTATATGAACTGTACCCTATATATAAATATACTGAAGGAAAAATGTATGACACACTGTAACCCTTTTTAAAGAAGAATGTTTGAGCTAGACTCACAACACTACTAAAAAATAGTAAAACTATGAGTAGAGAACACTTCTGAAAACACCAAGGGTATGTTGGGAGTTTGGGGGAGGGAAGATTTTGAAAGTTAGCCATGAGAGGAAAAGGGGAGGGGAAATGAAATAAAACCTTGTTTTTGTTTGGGAGATATAAATTTGGGATGAGGAGGGGTACAGAAAATTATAATTAAAACAGCTTAAGATATATATCGAATTCAAGTAGTTGAGCTTGTATTCATTTTAAATTGAGCTAAAATTATTACTCCCTCCGTCCCGGTCATTTCTTCCGGTTTTGACCGGTATCGCAAATTAAGGTAGTGAGAATAAAGTGAAAATGTATGGTTGTAGTTGTAAGAAAAATGTGAATGAATGTGAACCACATATTTTTTTCAAAAGTGGAAGTTGGAAGAATTAATTGGGACGGATCAAAAAGGAAAGTTTGAAGAAATGACCGGGACGGAGGGAGTATTTATTTTGTTATCCTTCAAAAACCTCCAAATTGGGGGAACTTTAAATTGAGCATTTGAAGGGTTTTGGAGGGTTATAAAAGCCCTCCAAAATCATCCCCTCCAATTTTTTAAACTCCCAAATACAAATAGGAAGGTCATCAACCTCACATGCCTTCCCCTACCCCCTAAAAAACAACTCCCAACGCACCCCAAGTCAGTAACAAGTTTTAGAAGTGGCAGCTATACTAATATTCAAAATTAAAAAATATATAGTTCAATGTAAAAAAGTCCAAACATTAACATAGTCAATAAAAGAACTGAAAACCCCCTGATAGAGATCTAGATAGCACTACTAATAAGAATAATATTAGTGTTTTAATATTCTATAATAAGTGGTTTCTAGGTCCAGTAACTTAGTAACTGAGGCTGGCCCATTTAGGAGATGAGTATATTAACAGCAGAAATGGGGAAAGGAGAGTTAGGCAGAAATTGGTTTGGGACTTGGGTCGTGGGAGTGCCGGAGACTACTCGAAGTGTCTCCATTGTATCTTTCTCTTTTCAGTTCATTCATTTCATCTTAATTCTACTTCAATTTACCGTCAAATTTCTGTGTACCTATCACCCCCCCCCCCCCCACTAAAAACAGAGAATATACAGACGAATCAGTTGTAATATAGAAACATATATTTTTTATAGGCTTATAGCGGGGCGGATTTCTCATTTCGATTCAGCATGGGCTGAAAATGTAATATATGTAAAATAACAGCAATTGCTTCTTCACCTAATTAATATTAGCCTCTTTAAGTCTACTACGTCTTTTAAATTTAGCTGCGCAATGGCTTCAAAAGTTGGAGTTTCTTTTAGTGAAATAAGCCAGTAATAATAGTTCTAATAAACTCTTGTTTTTTACATCCTAAAAGCAAAGTCTAACTGCATCAGATCCATAGTAGTCGATAGCACAAATGGTGATCGCCATTTCTCGCCATTGGTGTTTTAGAGGGTCATCGCCACAAATCCTGGATGTGGCGTCGAGTATAAATCCGGCGTTGCCATTTGTGCGCCATCGCCATGCCTGCGCTATTTGCGCCATTATTTGGCCCAGACTTACGGGATCTGCGACCATAACACCTATCAAGCACCCATGGACCAGCCGCCACCCAGTGACCAGCGACCACCCAACGCCCATCCGACCACCACCCAGCGACTGGAGACCACACAGCGCCCACCTGACCACCACCCAGCGACCGGTGAGCACCCAACGCCTACCCGACCACCACCCAGCGACCGGCGTCCGGCGAGCACCCAGCACCTACCCGACCACCACCCAGCGACCGACGACCACCCAGAGTCCACCCAACCACCACCCAACAGACGACGACCAACCCTCGACCACCCTGCTACCAGGCCACAGGGGCGGATCCATAAAGTTACAATGAGGTGGGCTGAGGAAAAAAACTGAAAGACACATACATAATAATACGTCAAGTCGTCAACACTTCAAATATTCATCAAAACATCATTTAAGTTGTGCCCTACGCGACTTCGAATGATAAAATCTACATCTATATTATTGAAAAAATCTCGTTCAGTATAAGTTCATTATCCATTCTAAAAAACATTTTCAATATTGGTATGAATTAAAATACTTCTATAAAAATATAAAATTATAAAACTAACAAGAAAAAATGATCGTTGTACATAAAACTAATAAGTATTCCCAATTTTAAAATTCAATTGAAATTTTCAATTTTTTCTTACATGTCAACACAATAAATAAATCATTCTCTAATCTTCAATTGTATAATCAATAAATCATTCTCTAAGATTTAATTTTATCTTTAATCATTATTAAATTGTAATGAACTTTTGCCCAATTTTATTGTGCACTGAAAAATTCAACTGATAAAATTGATTAACTAAGGACTAAACCTAACACTCTAAAAGGCTAAAAATTACACAAGTTAACACAATCACAAAATAAGAGAGAAAAAGTCTAAAAACTGACCTGCGCCAGAGCTGTAGGCAGAGCCAGAGAGAAAGGAGTCGAAGGACGCTGGAAAACGGAAGCACGGAGTGTACGGCGGAACAAGGCGTGGCTGGTGGCTGGTGGCTGGTGGCTTGGTGTTCTCGTCTTCGTCGCAGCTCACAGGTTCTCCGTTCTCGCCTTCTTCGTCGCACGCTCTGCCTCAATCTTCGTTCTTCGCTTCTTTCTTCTCTGTGCGCAGGTTAGTTCATTGGTCTGGGCTGCGCTGTGGGTTGGGAATAAATTTTAGAGTGGGCTGGGATTAAATTTTGGGGTGAGCTGATATTAATACACATGGAAAACTTAAAATTCTTAAAATAATACAGTATCACTATTGTCACGAGTTTTTTCCGGGAATATGCTAATTAAATAAATTATTCCTGAAATACTGTCGAGTTAAGAATAATTCCCAAAATACTGCTGAAATTAACCACGGTTAAGGAAAGCCGTCACTCCGAGCGGCGGCTCTTCTCTTATAGTACGGAAGCCGTTACTTCAAGTGGCGGCTCTTCTCTTACGTCCCATTTTGTACATATATAAAACGCAGTATGTTTCAAAAATTTGTTTACCTGCCTTCCTGATTGAATTTTGAGCTGAAATTCGGTATGCATAAACTAGACTTGATTAGGAACATTCTCAAAAAATTTCATCAATTCCACCGGAAACACCCTCTGGTGGTGTTGTCTGCGGAAGGTTTCGGTCAGGATGTTATGACAAAAGGGTGGTCCGGCCACCTCAATTTGAGGTGATTCCCGGTGGGATGTTTTGCTGAATTTTTGTGTGTACGTTATTTATCAAGTCTAGTTAATCCATATCAAATTTCAGAACCAATCTCAATCGGGAAAGCAGTCAAATGATTTTTTAAAGATAACTGCGTTTTATATGTATAATCTGGCGTAGTTATCTTTCAAAAATCATTTGACGCCCTTTTGGATTGAATGTTTTGCTCAAATTTGGTATGACTGAACTAGACTTTATTAAGAACATACACAAAAAATTTATCAAAACATACCACCGGGAACCACCTCAAATTGAGGTGGCCGGACCACCCTTTTGTCATGACGTCTTGACCGGAACCCCCCTGCGGACAACACCATCAGAGGGTGTTTCCGGTGGAAGTTTTTGATGAAATTTTTTGAGCATGTTTCTCATCAAGTCTATGAGAGAAGAACCGCCACCGGAGTGGCGACTTTTGTGAAGTAATACAAGAGCCGCCACTTGGAGTGGCGGCTTTCCTTAACCGTGATTAATTCCAGCAGTATTTTGGAAATTATTTTTAACTCGACAGTATTTCAGAAATAATTTATTTATTTAGCATTATTCCGGAAAAAAACTCTATTGTCACCACTTAAAATTCTTTTCAAATATAAACTATGCAAAGGTTTTTCTTTCATAAATAGACCATCCGTATGAACCTGAGCTTTGAACTAATGTATTCAAAAATTCGTAGACCATTCGTAAACACCGGAGCTTCGAAGTACTGTTCCCAAATTCGTAGACCATTCATAAACCTATACGCAGGGGTCACTAACTTTTTTACTTTAAAATATAAAAATATAAAAATTCAAAAAGATGATACTGCCTATAAAAAAATTTAATTCTAAAGAAATGAAGTCGTATTTAAAAAATCAAACACTCAACTAAAAAATTAATAAAATTTTGATAATTGTGAATCAAATTTAAAAAAAAAATGAATTTACATTGTAAAAAATAAAACTAGAAAAATAGAAAAAACATATAGAAAACTTAAAAATAAAAAACTTGGAAAAAACTTACAAACAAGTTTAAAATAGTTAAAATATGGGAAATTTTAAAAATGTACAAAATTCGATTTTTGTAATGTAAATCTTTTAAATAGTTAATATAATATACTCCCTCCGGTTCTTATTAAAGTTCTCACTTTCCTTTTTGGGATGTCCCTTATTTAAGTTCACACTTCCATTTTAGGAAATAAAACAATGCAAAACAGTGCCAAACAGTGTCCAAACAGTGCCAAACAGTGCTAAACAGTGCACTCTACAGTAAAGTCAAATTCATTTTCTTAATATGTGTGAAGTCAAACTGGGAACTTTAATAAGACTCGGAGGGAGTACGTAGTATATAACTGCTGCGTAGAGCCACCAGTACGGGCTTCCTCTGCTTCAACACTTTGCTCCTCGTGGCGGTTCTGCGGGCTGTGAATGGCTGGCTCTCCTATGGATCCTTGTTGTCCGTACTACCGTTCAATGGGGCTCCATATCCGAGGTGCTCTAAGGGCTGTGACACTTCAAAAATTTAAATGACAATAAAAATATTTTTTATTAGTGAGATATTTTTTAATTGTTAAGTGAGTCAAACAAAAATTCAACAGTTGTAATATTCTAACCAGATGAAAAACTTCCAAGTTTACGACGTTTTAGTCAGATAAAAAAATTCAATAAAAGGAAGCCACATTTTTATGATAATGAAAGTGAGATTTTTCACAAATGTTAAACACTTAATAATAGGTATGTACAATTATACACATAAAACACATAATATTAATCTAATATACTACCTATGTCCCTTAAAACTTTGCTAAATTTCATTTTTTGGATGTCCCACTAACTTTGCCACTTTCCCATTTAAGTAAAGAATTTGTGATTCCATTTAATTCTCTCTCCCCTGCACAAATCTCAACCACACAGTTTTTACTTTATTAATGTTGTGTATTAATAAACCCTGAGCTAAGCATGCGTGTATATATATTCATATAACACACTTATAAAAACACTTATAGTTATGAGTCTTATGACCTGCGTCTAAAACACGGCTAAAGAAACGAGAGAAAAAGGGAGCGTAAGAGAAGAGAGCGGATGAGAGATGTACAAGGGCGTCGACGCCTCACGCCGCCGCAGAACGAACATCAGCGAAGCTTGAGGATGAGTTTCAGCTGATTCGCAACCCACCTTGATAATGGATTCATGGTAGACTGGCCGAAGTGAAGAGGACGTTGTTAACTTCGAACGGAACAGTTAGAACACCTGAACGACGGAGAATGTAATAACTATTGCCATCGCCGGAGAAAACGAACGCCGGAGGAAAAGCTCGTGCGCCGGAGAAGAAAGGACCACGCCGCATCTTCTCCAAGGTAAAGAATACGTTGAACTGACACGTCGCCGCCGGTCTGGCTTCCTGTTGACGACGAGAAGAGACTGCCGGAGTAAAGGAAACCGCAGTGGCCGTCGCTCCTGTCTTCTTCCCTGCGTCGAGTGAACGAAGAAGATGACCGGCTGAGTGTTGAGGATGGGTAACGGTTTGATAATATTTTCCCCCAAAACCGCCCCGTTACCCGTCGGGTATTTTTTACCCGCGGGTAACGGTTTTCCCCGCGGGTAACGGTTTACCCACGGGTAACCGTTTTATTATAAGGTAATTTTTTTTCTTCAAAATTAGTATAAATCCTAAAATGATGATTAACTACTTATAATTGATCGCCTAAATTAAAAAAAAAAACAAAATTAAATAGCACCACTTGTTTTATTAAAAGATCTTTTTTTTCTTCAAAATTAGTATAAATCCTAAAATGATGATTAACTACTTATAATTGACCACCTAAATTAAAAAAATCAAAATTAAATAGCACCACGGATAAAGTTTTTTAAAACATCACAAAAAACTACAATCTTTTAAACCTAATATTCACAAATTATATATGTCTAGATTCAAAATTATGAATCTCTTACCACATCAACATCAAAAGATTAAGTCTTGTCTCGACAGTAAAATCTAAATATGAATCACAAAAATATTTAACTTCCAAAAATTCAATAATCATACCCACCAGCATTTAATATTTAAATTTAAGAACAGTAATGTGTACAAGTAAAATAATGAAAATGAGAAGTTTTTTTCCTAAAATATTACTAATAAAAAATATATGGACATAAATGTGACTATAGGTTATCATGGGTAAGTTTTATAATCACTACGATATAACACTTGAATAAAATTATAAACACTAAAGTTACTAGAGTCGCATTTTTGTCCACAACTTTTATTTTGATTATAGATTTGGAATTATTTCTAAAAAATGTACTTCAAGTACTATGATTTAAGTATTCTTGTAGTTACTGTTTTAGAAACCTCATAATTTAAATTTTAACTTGATATAAATTAGAGCAACCAGTCAAAATTAATCTAATCATCCAATACACCTCTACAAAATTATTAGCAATTACATAAATTAAAGCAATCTAGAGTAATGTTTCCCAATATTTGGATTTTAAACTCATATGTGAGATGTATGAAAGTTATTGGGTGAAAAATTAAGAGTGTCACAATGTAAAAATTGTGTACAGAAAATCACGAAAATCAAATAATCAATATGTGAAGAAAATAAATCTTGTAGAAGTTAACAAAGGAAGGATCACTACTACAGAAATAACATTCCACGTCAGTTATTTTATACCTTTCACGTCGGTTTTCTGAGAGACGTGTAAGAAGGAGACGTAATAGATGAGGACATTTGACGTCGGTTAAAGAACCGACGTAAAAAGGTACCTTCCACGTCGGTTTTATAAAAAACCGATGTTACATATATTTTCGAAAAAATAAAATAAATACATGTTACGTCGGTTATTTAACAAAACCGACGTTGAATATAATTTCATAAAAAAAAAATACATACTACGTCAGTCATCTCTCGAAACCGACGTTGTAAGTAATTTTTTTAATAAAAAAATATAGACGCACTATGATGGTTAATTTAAATAACCACCAGTTTATTGCTACTTTTTTTTTCCAAAAAGACTAATACCATTGAATGATTCTTCTTAAAGGCCTGCTGGAAGTGGCACTTTTTTTTAGACTGAAACCTTAATTAAATATAATTAATATAGTCCAACTAAATTCTTGTCGAAATTACATTTATCAGCCACAATCCTAGAAGTTATTGTTCAGGTAAAAATATAAACCAGCAAGTGCAGCTACTCCAACGACGATCACAGCGGGCAATGCTAGGCCAATAGACCCATCTTTTTTTAATTGTTCTTTCCTGGCCTTCCTGACGGCGGTGTCATTGGCATTTTTGGCCACTGCTGGTTCATATGCTCTAAATCTTCTCTTAGGAGCACCACATATGTAAATGTAGGAGTCTTGGCATTGTAAATGTAGCTGCACACCCGCAATCGTGACATATGTAAGCTTGTTTAGAAGCCGCCGCCGCCACACGCATGGAGATGATCTTTGGGGCCTTCGCCACATATGAAGCACTGTGCTTATTACCTGGAGAAGAAGAAGAGAGCAAGAGATGCAGCGAAAATTCAAAAATCTAGCAAAAATTCAAAAACTTAACAGAATTACAAACATCTACCTTCACACAC